TCATGGGCATGATATTTCCTGAATGGGTACTTATTTTGATATTTGACTTTTTGCAATATCTATTAGACATTGTTTCTTAAGATTGTTCAAAATAATATCAACGGTTTATTCAGGAAAAAAAGAAGACAATAGCTCAAATTGGAGTGAGGATAAAAACGTTATCTTGTTTACTTCCTTCAGACGTTTGTGTGATTCTTGGAAATCGTTGCTAGTTGTTCTTGATGCATTTGGCAATATGACAGACATCTCAAATGGTCATTTGTTTTAGTAACAGTAAATTTCAAGACAGTAGAGTGCTGAGTCCTTGAGCTTGAGCTTTTCTTAGTACTAGGTAGATACAATGAGGGTCTCTTTGGAGTTTTATTTTGTTTTAGGCACTGAATTGTCATATATTGAACCTTTTTCTTTAGTTAACAGATTTGAATTTGTTTAGGGTCAATTATTCCAATTGATGCACCGTCTTGAAAATACAACGCCCCATTTCATCCGTTGCATCAAGCCCAACAATGTTCAGTCTCCCAGATTGTCGGAGCAAGGACTTGTATTACAACAGTTAAGATGTTGTGGGGTCCTAGAAGTGGTACGAATATCACGAGCTGGTTTTCCCACCCGGATGTCACATCAGAAATTTGCTAGAAGGTAGCGCTGGGTTATTGCTTATGATTTTTAAAACTTTCCACTCTAACATCTATTGATGTAATAACTTGTGCATGGCTCTTGGTGTGGGACATCAGGTATGGTTTTCTTCTGCAAGAAAGCATTGCATCGCAGGATCCACTAAGTGTCTCAGTTGCGATTCTTCATCAATTCAATATATTGCCGGAAATGTACCAAGTTGGCTATACAAAATTGTTCTTCCGAACTGGACAGGTAAAATGTTTGTGTTTCTTATCAATACTAATTGCTCTATTAAGGAAAGGTTATTTGGGTAGGATTTTAAATTGTTCACCGAGCTAGTTCAGCAATTCATACCAGCTTCTAGACAGAAGGGAATGTAATTAAAGAGTTGATATAATCTTTCATTTATTTAATTATCTTTTTTTTTCTTCTTCTAATTGCCGACCGCCTATTTGGTGGGCAATGATGAGAATTTAACAAGTGTAGACAAATGTTCAAGAAGCTCCAATTTTTCACGGAAGAGAAGTGTGCTTAGCCAGTAATGCATGTTTGATCATGGTGACTTCAAGTTTCATCCCAACGACTGAATCGTATTATGTTGCTTATGTTGCACTTGCTATTGTCCTTTGGTTTCAATTGAGTTAGAAATCAATGGTAAAAAAAGAAAAAAAAAAAAAAAAAAACTAAGGATACCAGTTTAGAAATAAAAATTTAAACCTATTTCTGTATAATTTTATTTGTCGTTGAATTTTATTTTGTGCTATTGTATATATATCTATTTTGTACATAGTAAGTTCCATATATTGACATATAATACTGACTAGTGCAACTAATCAAATTTTTATAAAAAATAATCTGGTAGATTGGAATGCTTGAAGATACAAGAAACCGCACCCTCCATGGGATTCTCTGTGTTCAAAGCTGTTATAGAGGGCACCTAGCTCGTCGCCATCTCAAAGAGCTGAAGAAAGGGATTTTCGTACTTCAGTCATGTATTAGCCTCCCTTGTTGACTTAGAACCAGCATTGTCTAGTTCTTGGGATACAGAGTTTGAACTATTCTAATTTCTCATGCAGTTGCACGTGGGGAGAAAACCAGAAAAGAATATGCAATCTTGATACGAAGGCATAGGGCTGCTATTTCTATTCAGAAGTGTGTGAAAGCCAGAATTGCTGAAAAACGTTTGAAGAAAGTCTGTGATGCATCACTTCTGATACAATCGGGTAAAGAACCTGTTCTTAAATGTTCTACTGGATATATGATTTCACAACGAAGAAACTAACTACAGTTCATATTCTCGAGAGTTTGATTCAAAACAGTGTTCAATTATCCGAGACCACTTTAGTGTGCATGCCCACTCTTATGCCCTTGAACTGTGCACTTTTTGGTGGGGAGGTCATGGAACTGGAGTTTCCCAAACAATCTACAACAATAACTGGATACACTTCTAAATCCAGATGTTTTTATTATAACAAATGAAGCATTTACAGTACAGAATTAGAGAGTCTAGTAAAATAAACAATGAAAAGTAACCAGCTTCTAACTGGAATTTAGATTGCCTTGCCAGGACTGGACATCTCCGGCTGTATTTCTGTTTTTTGTGAGTTCTGATTTCGTTTACTGATTTGGTCCAATGTTTGTTACCTTTCAGTTATCCGTGGCTGTTTGGTCAGGAGATGCTCAGGAGATATAGGATTAATGAAACCTGGTGGCCTGACGGTAAACTTTCAGCATTTTGATTTTTATGTGTTCATTCTCTGATTATCATTTTTGTCTTCAAATTTTATGGTTGCCCAAAACTTCCATATGTCGTTCATACTGTTCCACTTCAACTTAGTATGGGAGTAATTTTCTAGTATTATACGAGAAGGATGCCTATCATAGATCCAATTAATCGGTATTGGACTAAGTCTAAAAATGAAACTACAGCTATTAATATACAAGGAAATAATATTCCTTCTTTTATTCACATTTCATTTGAAAGAATTTTATTTAATTGACCTCATATCCTTTTTATATGTTTGTATAATGTGATTACTCAAAATCTCGAACTTCCAACAGGCAAACGAGTCAGGTGAGGTGCTTGTTAAGGCATCATTCCTTTCAGAATTACAGCGCCGTGTCCTGAAGGCAGAGGCTGCTTTGAGGGAGAAAGAAGAGGAAAACGACATCCTCCACCAGCACCTCCAGCAGTACGAGAATCGTTGGTCAGAGTATGAGCTGAAAATGAAATCAATGGAAGAGGTGTGGCAGAGACAAATGAGATCCCTGCAGTCTAGCCTCTCCATTGCAAAGAAAAGCTTAGCAGTTGATGATTCAGAGAGAAATTCTGATGCATCAGTCAATGCAAGTGATGACAGAGGATACAGTTGGGAAGTGGGTAGCAACAACACAACTAATGAAAGCAATGGAGTAAGACCAATGAATGCAGGTCTCAGTGTCATTAGCCGCTTGGCCGAAGAATTCGAACAAAGAAGTCAAGTCTTCAGCGACGATGCCAAGTTCTTAGTAGAGGTAAAATCCGGTCAAGTCGAGGCAAGTCTTGATCCAGATAGGGAACTAAGAAGGTTGAAGCAGATGTTTGAAGCATGGAAGAAAGATTACGGGGGAAGGCTGCGCGAAACAAAAGTGATTTTGAATAAGCTTGGGAATGAAGGTGCCATGGATAGAGTGAAAAAGAAATGGTGGGGAAGGAGAAACAGCACAAGGTATAGTTAAACAACTGAAATCAAGTTATAGCTAAAAGTTACACTGTTTTCTCTCTGAGCAGTTGGTTTATTTTTGGGGAACTTGTAAATGATGGGTCTTCCTATTCACTGGGCCAGTGAATCAGGAAGAAAGGGTATTCCGTTGTGCTGCTAATACCTATTTACACTGTTCTTAGCAACCCTATAGTTGTTGCAAAGGAGGAACTGCTGCAAGAGTTCTGTTCTAACTTTTCCATTACAAGTTTCTTTTTGGAGGGCTTCAAGTGATTTAGTTAGTGCCATTGGAGTCCAAAATCTCCAATATGTATATCTCTTTTTACTACTTAACAATCTCTATATTGATAGATATTGAGGCTTTCTCTTCTCTCATAGTATGCTTCCCTCCCCCAAAAATAAAGAGAAAAAGAAAAAAAGTGATCTTCAGAGCCTTGGATGAAGCAAAGATTGTTGCATTATTAGCCAACAGTTTTGTTTAATGTAGAATAACTCATGAATGGCTCATAAGGAAGATTTTGGGAGGGGCCCCACCTCAAGTTTACTCTAGAACAGTAGTTGTTTTTGAAGGAATATACATCAATAACTATATTTTAGATTTTTTTACCTTTTAACTTCGTTCAACGATAGCCTCATTTGTCCGTTTTAATCTGTTATATATTGTTATTAGCTTCATAATTTTAAAACGCGTCTACTGGAGATAGATTTCTACACTCTTATAAGACACTTCATTTCCTTTTCAAACCGATGTGAGATCTCACACACTTGTTTATTTATCGATTGAGTTATGTTTAGGAGTGTTCATAAGAGCATTGACTTGAAAAATCCAATCACCCTAATTAGTTGAATTGAGTACACTTGTTTATTTATCGATTGAGTTATGTTTAGGAGTGTTCATAAGAGCATTGACTTGAAAAATCCAATCACCCTAATTAGTTGAATTGAGTACACTTGTTTATTTATCGATTGAGTTATGTTTAGGAGTGTTCATAAGAGCATTGACTTGAAAAATCCAATCACCCTAATTAGTTGAATTGAGTACACTTGTTTATTTATCGATTGAGTTATGTTTAGGAGTGTTCATAAGAGCATTGACTTGAAAAATCCAATCACCCTAATTAGTTGAATTGAGTACACTTGTTTATTTATCGATTGAGTTATGTTTAGGAGTGTTCATAAGAGCATTGACTTGAAAAATCCAATCACCCTAATTAGTTGAATTGAGTACACTTGTTTATTTATCGATTGAGTTATGTTTAGGAGTGTTCATAAGAGCATTGACTTGAAAAATCCAATCACCCTAATTAGTTGAATTGAGTTGTATTGGTTCTAACGTGAATTTACTCTAAAGTTACTTTAAAAAAATATTATATATTTATTATAATTTTATTTAATTTCATAATTTTTTATTATACTTTTAAAAAAATTATATTAAAATTGCACATTTTAATTTAATGTTTGAAGTAAATCAATGATTTTATTATATTTTTAATCAATTATTCGAACAATCAGTTTAATATTTATGATTGAAGAGAGATCTATTAATAAATCAATGAATTAAGATATTATAGGAAAATAAAAAGCTTTATTTTTATTTTTTAAAAAAGGATCGAGTTGACTCGATTAAAAGCAGGTAAAGCTGGAAGGCCATGAAAAAGCATTTAAAATAAAGATAAATACGCTAAAATTACGACGTTGAAAGGGTACAGTGAAAGTCTGCGCCTCTCATTACTCCCCACTTGCCGCCTCCACTCGGTCCCAAGCGGCTGGCGATGTTGGCTGCCGGCGCTCGCGTTTCTCACCATCTCCGGGAGTGCGACTCTCAATTTGGCTTCGGATTAACCTCAGGCCTTACCTCCTTCCCCGTCGTTCTATTTCCTCCGATATGGTCTCGCAAGCCCACTTCTAATTTCCCTTCAATTTCTCGCCGCTCCCAACCACGTGGGGTTTCTTTCTTTTGCTCCATTATCCCCTCCACTTCCCCCGGAGAAATCCCCGTTATCTCCGATTCTTTTGGGTACTTTCCCATTTCATGTCCTTCGATTTCTTATCGCTGTCCGTGTTGTTTTCTTGCTAACTACAAATTTACCAATTGGCGTTTTGTTTCCCAGTTCACGAGAGGATGATCGTGAAGTCTCTGTGGCTGGTTTGTTTTCCTTCGTTGGTTCAATTTTCTCCTGAATCTGTCGTTAATTTTATGGAAGAATGCTAATCCTTATCTTCGTCTTAATTTTTCCGCTTATTTAATGTGTAGGAAGTTTGTGGTGATTTTGGGTTAGATTGAAGTTGAACAACCTTTTGATTATATGGTTGTGTACTTATAATGTGGGTTCTAAGTAGCTCTGATTTATACGCAATACATTAGAATGGGGGGTTTTTTTCCTCTTAAAGATTCAAGCCCCCAAAAGGGAGTGGGAGCAAAACGTAACTCCCGAAGAAAGAACAAGGCTTCAAATGTTAGAAGAGTTTAAAAATAAAAACATTAATGAACTAAGCGCCTAAGATCTTGACACCATCGATGATCCTAAGATTTAGGCTGTTGATGCGTCTTTGTTCTACTTAATGGTCAAACAGTTGATGTGCTTAGAAAATAATTGATCGGTTAACATAGCAAGTAGGAATGGAATATAATACACTTATGTGATGTCCCACATTGGTTGGGGAGGAGAACAAACCACCATTTATAAGGGTGTGGAAACCTTCCCCTAGCAGATGCGTTTTAAAGCCTTGAGGGGAAGCTCGAAAGGGAAAATCCAAAGAGAACAATATATGCTAGCAGTGGATTTGGATCGTTACACTTACGAAGTCACCAACTTGAGAGCAAGTAGCGAAAGCTTAAATATTGATTATTTTAATAAAAAGAAACCAAGATTTCAATGAAAAAAAATGAAAGGATCCAAAAGAGGCTACAAAATGGACAACCGAACAAAAGGAGCCAAAAGCAAGCTAACCTAAAGTTGGTCAGATGGGTGTCTAGTAGCTTTGATTGATAGTTTTAGGAATGTAAGTCATGTTAGGAATCACGACCCTCCACAATGGTATGATATTGTTCACTTTGAGCATAAGCTGTCATGGCTTTGTTTTGGGTTTTCTCAAAAGGTCTCATACCGATGGAGATGTATTCCTTACTCATAAACCCATGATCATTCCCTAAATTAGTCAAGGTGGGACTCCCTCCTAATAATCCCCAACAAGTCACAGTATTAGATGGATTCTTGTCTTCTATCTCTAGTTACTTCGGTTTGGGTATTATGTGAGAAGGTTTTTTTCCCCTTCTTTTGGATTAGCTTGCTATAAGAAAGTTCATTCAGTTGTGAAAAGATCATTTTCTCCTATTATTTGTAGTTCGGTTAGTCTGAGACTGGTTTTTATGATCATTTTTTTTTTTGTCACTCATAGGAGGAATAGTAGCATTAGGAAAATTTGATGCTCTTCACGTTGGACATCGAGAGCTCGCAATTCAAGCTTCAACGGTTGGATCTCCATTTCTATTGTCATTCGTTGGAATTGCTGAAGTACTCGGTTGGGAACCTAGGTAAGCAAAATGCGTTTTCTTTATGTTACTTATTGTTTGTTTCGTCATAAATGGTTGGAAATTTACATCTGACAATGACCTTACAAAATAAAATTTTATGCAGTTTTGATTGTTTTCTAAGGTTCTTACTTGTTCCATTGGCAAATATATGCAACTACCCGATATTTCCCTGTGGAAGATTTGCCCATTCTAATTGAATTTGGTTCCAACAACATTTGTAACATTAGTAATTCACATTGAGTTTCCAATGGAAGTCTTGCAAGTTATAAAGGTGTAGTTATTATCATAGAACACTAAGTTGATGGCCAGCAAGAATTAGCGTGTGCAGCAACAGCAGAAAGAAAGCAAAGCACTCAACATTATGGTTGGCTGTCAACGATCTGCAGCAAAGAATGGAGGAAAGATTTGAGGTCACTGATCGAGATATTCAATGTAGTTTAACAGCAATTGATCAATTTGTTGTTGAAGGATACAAGTTCCCAAAAGGAAACAAAAATTGAAAGAACTAAAGAAAACAGGAGAGTATAACAAGAAGAACATATAGCTAAAAACAAGCAAGAACAGTATCTTCAAAATGACAAACTAAAGCTCTTTCAATTGGAATGTCTGGCTGTCACCATGTGAGAATCAGGACGAGATTTTGAATACCATCTGTTATATTAACTGAGGATTTGTAATGAAGGTGTTGAGTTTATTCAATTGCAGATCTCTAATCTCTTTCCTTTGTTCTGAACATGTACTTAGAATTATATTCTTGGAGTTAATTATTTATCTGTTAGTTAATTGAACAGGGCTCCCATAGTGGCTCAATGTGATAGGAAGCGAGTACTTTCCTCATGGGCACCATACTGCCGAAACTCAGCTCCATCCGAATATCAGATTCAATTTTCAAGCGTTCGTTATCTAACTCCACGAGAATTTGTTGAGAAATTATCAAAGGAGCTTGGCGTTCGTGGAGTTGTTGCAGGTAAATTAAATTAAGACGTGTAGTACAAGTCTTTGTTGATAAAATACTCTCTTGGACTTGAGTAAAGTGTGATCGTTTCGAGGCTTTGATCGACAATGGTTGCAGGTGAAAGCTATAGGTTTGGATATAAAGCAGCAGGTGATGCAGCTGAGCTAGTGAAACTGTGTGAGGAATATGGGTTAGGTGCTTATATTATAAAATCTGTGATGGACAGAAACCAAAAAGTTGTTAATTCTACCAATTCAATGGAGAGAGGACAGGTGTCATCTACTCGGGTTCGCTATGCCCTTTCCATAGGAGATATGAAGTATGTCTCTGAGCTTTTAGGCCGCAGACATCGCCTTATTTTGATGGCAAAAGGCCTAGAGGGATTAAGCAATAGCAGAGTGTCTGCCCCAAAATCATGTTTGTTAAATTTAGCACCAAAAGAAGGTCTCTATAATACGTGTTTCGTCTGTACAAGTGACGAGGATCTAATCCCATGTCGGGTAGTTATCGACTCGACTCATGTTCACATAGAAATGGATGATATAGGCACACGTCATCCCGTAGGAACACAAAACTACTTAAGTGTTGAATTTGACCATGAAGGAGCATGATCATGTTCAATTCGCCTCCTGGAATTCCTTGATGAGATCACTTATCCACAAACTAAAATGTCGGATCCCAGAGATTCTGGATTATATGCATCAGAGAGATTCATATCTATTCTTACAAAGAGGTATGGAGCTTGTTTCAGCAATTATGTTCTAAATATTTGCAGACACGAAACACGGGTCACGGGCCAATGTGGGTAATGCTTCATCATTTACAGCTGGTTCTGTGAAGAAACACTACTTATTTTGGCAGGAAAAGCTCAATAGTTCCTTTCAGCTGTCCGACAGATGCATATGACCCGAAGGTACTTTTATATGTATTAACTAAAGCACGTTGTTTGCAAGGAATTATTATATTTATGTCTCTATGTTCATTTATCTGGAAACAAATAACTCAGAGGCATCGTTTTCTGTTGGCACTGTACATGATATCTATAATTTATTTAGGGACAAATAGCTTGGAAGTTTTCTTTTTTTCAACAGATCAAAAGCTGTTGAACCCATTTTGAGTTCTAACATAAAATTTAGACCCTTTTCACTTGCTTCTTGAAATGTAAGACAGGTAGTACTGTAGCCATGTTTTCCCTTGTTGTCTTTGGTTCCCTTTTGCAAGAACATGATTTTGCTTTTGAACTTTTTACGGGCCAAAACGAACAATATCTGCTAGCGGTGAGTTTGAACTGTTACTAATGGTATTAGAGCCAGACACCGAGCAGTGTGCCAGCGGGGACGCTGGGCTCCAAGGAGGGTGGATTGTGAGATCCCACATTGATTGGAGAGAGAAACGAAACATTCCTTATAAAGGTGTGGGAATCTCTCCCTAGTAGAAGCTTCGTCCCTTTTCCTTTTGCTTGCATTCTACTTCCATGGAAATGATTTTTCTTTGGAGTGGGATGTGGAAGCAGTTGCAAAAAAAGAAAAATGTTTTTATTTTTTAAGTCGGGATATATATATATATATATGTTTTAATCAATTGGGTTATATCATTTTATTTTAGAAAATTCAATTATTAAAATTCTCTAATAATTGGTAGTTGAGGTTTTAAGAAACATGAACATGGCAGTTGGGTTCAATCATTAAAATTCTGCTTTCTTTTTATCTAATCATATAATCATTTGAGAAAATAAAAAAGCTCACTTCATATTAAAAAAGCAACCATATAACCAAATACCGAAAATACCCCCATCATCAAAGAAATTAGCTGTGGTTGGTGAGGGTAGTTATGTAACTTCCATTAACAAGATTATCTGGAGATATCAGCAATCAAGACTCCTCGGCTTCTTCGCTACAATGTCAATTACGAGCAAATTAGGGCTTCTTCTATTTAGCCCCAATCTTTAATCTCTCTCTCTTCACTCTTCCCTTCTTCAAATTGGCTCTGAATTTTTTCGGATATGGCTTCCACTGATTCGGCATTGGAACTCGGGTCCGACTCAACTGGGGTTACCGTCTGTATCAATGATACTCTGACCGATGACGAGCTCCGATCCATACTGGATAAGATTGTGAGGGACAAAGACAAGGAGATTTTTGGGTTAGTTTGCAAGAGATGGCTTCGAGTTCAGAGCAACGAGAGGAAGAAGCTCTCAGCTCGTGCGGGTCCTCACCTGCTTCGGAAAATGGCCTCCAGATTCTCGCGCCTCTTGGAATTGGATCTCTCGCAGTCTACTTCTCGGTCTTTTTATCCGGGTGTTACGGACTCCGATCTTTCTGTCGTCGCTAATGGTTTTCAGTACTTGAAAGTCCTCAATCTTCAATATTGCAAAGGTAGCTACTTCCGCGTACTATATGTATGTTCTGCTTTGGCTATAATGTTCATGGTCGTGTGCAGCTGAGTGAAGTCTATGTTTTATCTTCTAATTCTCTACTGATTGTTAACCTCAAGAGTTTTAACGCTTTGGGTTTTAAGATAGACATCTACTTGAACGATTTAGGAGATTCGAAGCATTTTAAAATTAACACCAGGGTCGTTTTTTTTTTTTTTGTTTCCTTTTAAGTTTTCATTGATCTTGGACCAATGAATTAGTTGAATTTATGCATTTTTTAAAAAGGTAAATTTCGCTGGAGAAATATAACTCTGTCACTGCAAAGAGGAGTGAGCCTGTGGTATGAAATGATCTTGTCATATTCTTAAAATTTGGTCACAAAAGGATACTTGGTGAAGTTGTTTAGTTTATTTGTGATTTAAGTATTATGATATGAACTGGGCAATGGCCACAAGCGAATTGCTGGTGTTCTTTTTGATGCATATGTTTGATATCTTCATTTTTTTGCATCTGTGCTTGCAGGCATCACTGATTCTGGAATAGTAGCAATTGGAAGCAGTCTTTCAAAACTGCAGTCGTTGGACGTGTCCTATTGCCGAAAGTTGACTGACAGGGGATTCTCAGCTGTTGCAGAAGGATGTCACGACCTAAGAAACTTGAATCTGGCTGGCTGCAAACTGGTTACAGATGGGCTATTAAAAACTCTTTCTAAAAACTGCCACGATTTAGAAGAATTGGGTCTACAGGGCTGCACAAATATAACTGACTCAGGACTAACAGAACTTGTCAAAGGGTGTCAGAAGATCGAGCTTTTAGATGTTAATAAATGCAGCAATGTTGGCGACATTGGCGTATCCAATGTCTCGATGGCTTGTTCATCCTCTCTCAAGACGTTAAAGTTGTTGGATTGCTATAAAATTAAAGATGACTCCATTTTGTCACTGGCTCAGTTCTGCAATCATCTTGAGACTCTTATTATAGGTGGCTGTAGGGACATCTCTGATGAATCTATTCAAAAGCTTGCACGAGCATGTAAAAGTAATCTCAGAACTTTGCGTATGGACTGGTGTTTGAACGTAACCGATTCTTCATTGAGGTGCATATTCACACAATGTAGCAATCTGGAGGCGCTCGACATTGGTTGCTGTGAGGAGGTGACAGATGCTGCTTTCCATACTCTGGGAAGCGATGGTACTGAGGTGAATTTGAAGGTTTTGAAGGTTAGTAACTGTCCGAAGGTCACGTTAGCCACGTTAAGTATTCTTGTTGACAAGTGCAATTCTCTTGAATATCTGGATGTGAGGTCCTGCCCTCATATTACCAAGGCTGGATGTGATGAGGCTGGATTGCAGTTTCCTGAATCATGTAAAGTGAACTTTACAGGAAGTTTATGCGAGCCAGATCTTTTTCTTTGAGACCCAACATCAGCAAAATCTTGAAACAATTCATCCCCCAAAGTCTTTCAGACAGCATTTTTCGATTGCTTCATCGGGTACGCACCACTTCAGTTAGAAATCCTGTTAATAAGCCTTCTAATGTTGTTGTTTGGGGGGATCAATAAGCATTCTAATGTCATTTTCGGGGGGG